TACGGGATCGCTTAAAGCAAGGTACGTCACGAGATTTCTCGACTCCTACAGCCAATCAAAATCGCCAATTTCTTGATTACACCGACGAAACAAAAAAGTAAAAAAATACAAGAAATGAGTGTCTAAGTCCATATTGGTGCATTAATTAAAATGTTAAGAGGTCGATTTTACATATAATACTTTTCCAATATTAATCTATACAGGCGCTAATCTAACCCTAACCTTAAAGTTAATAGTAATTTCGTGATATACCTGGCTTTAAACGTTCCCCATCTATATCTTAGGCCACGCAAAATTAATTTTGTTTGCATAACCCGCCGACTCATTTTTTAATTTTTCAAATTTTTTTTTTTTAAGTCTCAAATTGTGCCAATTATTCGATTTTTGCTTTTCCATTTATCCGGTGTCACCCGATATATCCCGTAATTATCCGATAGCTATCATATCATGTATTGTCGCTGATCATAATGAAATCGCCGCTTATACTTGTTTATTATAAAATCTGCTTCTAAACCTAATCCTAACCCTAAAAAAATGCTAATATTTTTCCATTTTAATCTGATTTCATCATAATCTGCCACATGTATTGCGTGTATGCGGACGGACATCCTTTTCGAACTTACGGTTTTGATTTTATCGCTATTTTGCGTTAATATTATGCATCAAACTTGGAACTTTTAATGCATCAAAAACGTAACTTTGGTATCACTTCACTCATCATAAAGTTTCCTCCGCTACGCTCCGGATAATTATTCGAAATACTGTACTCCCCATCTCTGTTTCACTTCGACGAATGTTGAAGCATTTTTAGCTTCGGAAACAAAACTTAATATCAAAGATATATTTTTTAATATCATGGAATCGTATAGTGAAGACTTTAAACCATAATCTAAACCGACCTCAAGCAAAGATCGGACTTCGAAGCATCAAATATTGTTGACAAGGGTTTTACCACAAAATCCCGACATCTAAAATCGCGAAACCATAATCCAGGCGTGAGATAATTAATATTTGTGGCAGATTAAAATGAAATTCAGATTAAAATGAAATAATAATATAAAATCTCGAAAAATAAATTTTATTGGTGTGTATTTTTTAGGGTTAGGGGTTAGAATTAGGAGTTAGAATTAAAGATATTAAACAAGTATAAGTGGGTTTTAGAAGGTTAGAAGGTTGAATAGAAAATGTAGATTTCATTTTAATTATGATCTGCGACAATATTTGATGATTAGTAATCACATTAACAATCATTGTCAGACTTTAAAATTTTTAATTGTCATATCGCGTGATGCCATTATTATGGCCTGTCGAGATTTGGCATGTCGAGATTTTGTGGTAGAACCGTTGACAAGGTCTTATGGATTGAGAATGATAATCAAAAACTGTTAAATGCTAGTTTATGGGTTTATCGCATGTATATTAAGTTTTAACAGTTGATATTTCGATAGTTTTCACGGTTTAGTCTAAGCTTCAAAAATATGAACGTTATTAATCTATTACGTGGATAGTTTATATTTTTACCGAGTTTGTCATGATAATCGAAATAACGCTCCGGGGTGTAGATTAAAATTTTGGCCGAATTAAGCTTAATTCGGCCTAAATTAAGCTTAATTCGGGCCAAAATTTTAACCTACATCCCGAGGCGTTATTTCGAGGTAATACGTACGGTAGTGACGATTCACTTAATGATATTTACGTGACAGGTTTATACTTATTACGCCACTTTAGCAGTGGTCTTATTTGTAAATAGAGAAAGGTTGGGGTTTTCAATGCACGATGTAAATCAAATTTAAGTATACGTACGTACGTACGTATTCCTACATGAAATCCCAAAATTTAATAAGATCTTTTAGAAATTAAAATAAAAAAATTTTTAATATATATTGCAATTTTAAAAACTTTAAGCTATGTATATTTTGCTACTGTAAACAATATACGTACGTACGTCATATGCCTGATACGTTAAAATATAATAATAACAGAATAATAGTCATTGTTAAAAATGTTAAAAATATGCTAAAATTAAATAATGGAATTTGGAGTCTTGATTTGAAAATATAGATATATACCGATATTACTAAATCTATTTATACGTAAACTCTAAATTTTAATCAAACTCTAAAAACAAGCTAACCAAAAAATTTAAAATTTTATAATGATTTTTTATAATTTAAATGAATATTTTAAAATTATTCAAAACATTCTAAAACACTAAAATATCTAATAAAAATTTTTATCAAAAAATATAAATAAATTATCAACATAATTATAAAAAATTGCTATAACTGATAAGTATATTATTGCGCTTTGCAAAATTCTGTACCCCCCGATTACTAATGTTTATAAAATGATTGTGATTGTGACTGTGATTGCGATCGTTAAAGCTGGCCAATTTATCATAAATCTGATAATAAATTGACCAGCTTTAGCAATCGCAATTGCAATCACAGTCACAATCACAATCGCAATCATGATCATTTTATAAACATTAGTAATCAGGGAGTACAGAATTTTGCAAAGCGCAATAATAATAATAGTCATATATATAGCATGTTTTATGTTTTCCAATAAAATTTTTTATGTTGTTACGTAAGATATATCTATGGTGTTTTACACCTATGTATGAGTGACAAACAGGAAAACCTGTAAATCATGCTTTTGAATATTTACTTTTAATGAAAATCCTTTAAGGGCTTTATAATTTATCGCTATAGCGATGTATCGCCACCCGGGTCTAAGTCAAATCAAAATCCCGTAAATCAAAATTCCGAAAATCAAAATCCCGAATCTTAAATGTCGCGCCGCGTGATGTCGGGTTTTCAATATTCAAGCCCCGCCTATGATTAGTAATATAGATTACCTATAGATTACTAATCACAACCGGGGTTTGAACATTGAAACACCGACATCACGCGGCGCGACAAATAAGTCTCAGGAGGGTAGCTATAGCGATAAATTATAAAATCCATATTTTAATATCATTTGAAGCACAATTCAAATGACATTAAAATCTTAAGCATTTTGTTACTCGGTTTTTTTAAGATAAATACTCAGAAAGTATAGTTTACAGGGTTTCCCTGTCCATCTCTCATATACATTATTGTCCCTAATATTTTCTAATTAATTGGTATGTAGCGCTTTAAGTAAAAATTTTCTATACTCAAAACCTTTGAAATCTTAAATGTAACTCCAAAACACTAATCTGAATTAAAATTTTCATATACAAAACTTATAAAATCTAAAAAACAATAATATATAATAGGTGCCAAAACATCATAAGTGCATTTTATATCAAACTAGTCTTTTAATTTTCATAGCCTTAAAATCCTCAAGATAGACTCGGTAGCCCAGCTTTTTTCTTCAATAGTCACTCCGGTTATTACACTCTACAAATATTTTAGATAAATGTTTCAATTTTGATTTGATAAGGCTGTGAAAACCAAGAAATTAATTTTATATGGCATAAATGAATTTTTTATTCTAATAAACTAATATCTTCTTTTGGGTCTAAGCAGACAAGGTAGATTAGAGCATTTGAAAAAGTTCCTAATGAATATCGAATTATTAATTGTCGTGGCTGCCCTATTTGAATCTATTAAACCTACTAAAATCAATATATACTTTTCATTAATGACTCCGATTTTAAGCCCTAACATAATTTTCAAAAAAGCTAAAAATAAAAAAGCTCCCCAAAAAATTTTTCAAAATATATTCAATTCTCAGCATCAGCTTAGCCGCAACAATTATTAAAATGTCTAAATCACATAATACGCACGAATGTGATTTAAGGACACTCTGAGTGTAGATGTTATGAATCATATTCATTTTTCTGATTTATTAACTAAAACTCATCGTAGGTGACAAAAATTTTGTAATGCGAGAAATCTAAACTCGTCAATCTATAATGACAATGATCATACAATCGTCTATCGCTATGGATTACCGTCAATTCTAACCAAAATATTTGTATGCTAAGCACAGGTTACATTAATTTAAGCTAAGCCATAAACGGGTTATTTGGATATCATTGAAATTGAGATTAGTGAGCAGAATTGCAGCCCAAAATATATAACAATAATAACTTATCTCAATAATACTCAGTAGAGAGCTTTCACGAAAAAGATATCGGCATATGACAAAAATTATGCGTGAAATGGTGTCAATTATAGGTGTGGACTATTAGACAATAATGATAAATTATCTAGCTTGCAAAGATCGAGTAGCTTGAGAATAACGAGTACAATCATGCGTATAATTATCCCAGTAGCACATACGTACGTACATCTTTTGTAGGGTACATAAGGTGTACCAGTTTCATATTAATGAATAGCCGATGAAGCGAGATGGTTTGTGCTTATTTTCCTTGGTGAAACAATAATCAAACACTTTTATTACAATGACTTCTGAATCAAAGACACATTATAAATACTAAATATATATATATATATAAGTGAAAGTTTATGTTAAGCATTCGACGCTTAGTTCTAAATCAGGCAAAGATTTTCTTACGATTAAGAATTATTGTTACATCTGTTTCAAAGAACTATGAGTATTTTTAAGGAAAGTTACTAATAAATACGCAAAATACCGACCGGATTATATATAATCCAAAATTAACCCCCCTCCTTTACAATTGGTCAATTTCAATTACGTATTCCATTCTGTTATCAAATATATCAGTTTTTCATAGGTCACCCTAATGTGGAGTAAATTAATGACATAATGGCATGTCAGGCACGCGGTTTAGAAGTTTGAAAGAGTTTCCATTTCTTGTCTTAGAATTTTCATATGAAGCAATTAACATGCATTACTTAATAATCAAAATGAAAGTTCCTATTGTGACTTCATAATGGGTGAAATTCGAAAGTGGCACACGCTAACACTTTTTCGGTTTTCCGTGTCATGCTATGCGCCACAAACTTTGTATATTTGTTGATCTTTCCCTGCCTTTAAAAACTTGTTCTACATTTTCGTTTCTTTGAACAAATCTTTCATCAACAATGAAAAAAAGCTCCGTTTCGACACCAAATTGGCTTGAGCAAATTGTTGAACAAAGTCATATAGATTTTCATGATTATGATAAATTTTCGGAAATTGAACCTATTGTCTCAGGACCTTTTGGGGAAAGTTTTCGTGCAGTTTGGAAATCTCGTGGAATAACCATTATGTTAAAAAGATGGAAAGGAAATATTGGTACTGATGATAAATCTGTTATAGATAAATTTATCAGTGAGGTAATAATTTGTTTCTCGCCCGATAAATCTTTTTTAAGCATTCAAACGAATATCACCCAATTTTGTTGAAATTACAATGTCACAATTGAATAAATTATAATACAATCTCTACACTTTTTCATTTCTTCTAGTTGGAATCGTATAAAAAAGTTGATTATCATAATAATATTTTGAAATTTTATGGAATTACTCAAGGTGTGCTTTCTGTCTTTACTAGATTAGTTTTATCTATATGTGTTCAATTGTATTATACATTATCCAATTTATAATTCTTTATATAGATGTGTCTTCCAAAAGATATTTTTTGGTATTTGAATACGCAGACGGTGGCACTCTTCGCCGGTATCTTCAAAAAAATTTTTCCTCATTGTCATGGAATGATAAATTAAACCTTGCTAGGCAGATAGCGAGTGGTATAGTTTGTCTGCATGATAATGATATAATCCTCGGAAATTTGGTAATTTATATTCTCTAATCCAAAATAAGTTTTTTTTTTTTCTATTACTATGTCTAATTATTTAACTTTCAGAGCTCAAACAATATATTATTGAGAGATGGTGTGATAAAAATAACAGATTTTGGTTTATCCAAAAATTCTTCACAAGTTACTAGACGTATTTCTGATGCTAAAGGTGATATAGTGTACATAGAGCCGCAAAGTCTAAAGAACTCACAATATAAACGAACTTCTAAATCGGATATTTATAGTGTTGGAATATTACTTTGGGAAATTTCAAGTGGTAGGCCTCCGTTTTTATCATCATCATCGTCCTCTTCATCATTGGCTCAGTTACAAATGGCTACTCGAATATCAAACGGTGAACGGGAAGAACCAATTAGAGGATCTCCGAAAGCTTTTGTTGATATTTATCGACAATGTTGGAATGATGATCCTAAAAAACGTCCCCCTATTCACGAAGTATTGGAAAAACTTCAAAATACTGAGGTTCCTATTAAAAAGAGAAGTAACGAGAGTATTTCAAATAATACGAAGCCAAGAACTCGAAGATCATCCTCCGAAGGCAAAAGAACTTCATATCCGAGTGTTGTTATTTCCAATGATACACTAAATGCTATTACTGAAATTCAGACTACTGGAAGATCTAAAAAGCTTGGAACAATAAATACTGAACTGAGTAATTCGGCTTTTAATGGAAGAAGACCATCACATTCAAGAAGTAACTCATTTCACGAGAGTATATCAACTCCGTCAACACCAACATCTCCAAGTTCGAATGGAAGTAACAAGAAAATAATAGAAAATACAGATTCAATTTTCCTCAAGGAATTATTAAAATTTTTTGCTGAAATGTTAGAATTAAGTGGTGATTCTGCTGTGATGATCTCTAATATCAAAGAATATTTGCACAATCGAATGAGAGAACACAAGTCAACATTTAAAACTCTGAATCAGCATAAAGATAATCCACAATTCGGACCAATCATAGGTTTCTTTTACGAAAATTCAATCGGTACTGTTCAAGATAAACAGGCTGCCTTCGCTTCTTATCAGAAAGCTGCAGATAATGGTGATCCAATAGGCCAGTATTTTCTTGGTAAATGCTTTCAAAATGGAAACGGTGTGACAAAGAATGTATCTCGAGCAATGATGTACTATAAATTAGCCGCTAACAGTGGGTATTCGCTAGCACAAACTAGAATTGATGGCTTGTCAAAACAAAGAAGGCCATCATCTGTTTTAAAAGTTAGTCCAAAATGATTTTTTAGTGTTTAATAATAATTCTCAAAAACAAAACAAAAAAAAAAAAAAAGCTGAATTAGATCATTTTAATTTTTATTCATTCTAGAAAAAAAATCTATTTGTTACCTTTCATGTTTTACATCCCGAGTTTTCATTACTTTTATATAGTGTAAAATACAGTTCTTGTAAAAAAGAAAAACTCACTAGTTGTAAATAAAGAATATTTCCGTCAATTGCAAAACATTAAGTATTGCTGTTTTATGTATTTTGAGGATAAGAAATATATTTGCGTTTTTGTCTTAAAGAACGGGCGCGTCTTCGACATTTGCCGCTAAATTTGCGTTCATTGACATTTACCGCGAAAACTTTATACTCTATTAAAAATCGTTTACTCACTTCCAGAGAAAAAAAAAACACCTCACTAAATATATATCCATAGCCTACGCATTTCTCACGCCGAAAGCTGAGACAGTAACGCATAACGTAATACGCATTATGCACATTATGTATATGGATTGCATAGGCATTTAGGCGTTTCTAATCAAAAAAAAAATCAAATGAAAATGACAAAAATTAAAAATAAGTTTTTTAATAGGGTTATTCTCCTTCAATGATTTAAAAAAGATCTTTTTATTAACAAATTTATGGAACTCTAGTTAGATTCTTGACAAAAACGATACTGTATATAATTTACAAAACTTTATATAGCGATAGTTGTAAATTATTATAAATTTCTAATATGATGGATATCTTCAATGTTTAAAAGAGGTACGTAATTTTATTGTCTATTTAGGAATAAATCGTTCAATTTTCGGAGAATCTGCTTGCTCGCGTTATAATGACTTTAAATATGCGAGCTTCCTTACAATCCTTACTTCCGAGTATCGTCCCATTCTTTTTTTTTCATACATTAGGAAATCAATTCTTTCGTTTTTCGCGCACACAACTACGATGATTAGTTAACACACTATTAACGACATCTTACAATGAGTTTGCGTGCATACTTACAGTCCACTTGGTTAGGGCTTCGGTTTGAGTTTGAGCCTAAGTTCATAAAGTTCATAAATTGGGTTTTAAACCCAGTTTTACGAATTAGTTTTATAACTAGGTTTATGAACCAAGTTTATAAACTGGGTTAAAAACCTCTTTATAGTTAATTCTTTTTCTTTGAACGAACTACTATTTTGAGCAGGTTCAAATCCGGTTCATTTGAACCAATTTCCGCTTTATATCGATATGCCGTAGCGCCATAGATGCAAAGGCAAGTATATAGTTGCCAGCATGCGCTCGTACCGGATTTGTGGCGCAGACAAAATTTTAAAGTTCGCTAAGGTTAGGGTTAGGGTCAGGGCTATGAATTAGAGTGGAGTAGTTTATATGGTAAAATTGCCCAACGAAAGGTTTTATTAGAGCACTAAAGGTGGTTTTTTTATGATTTTTGAGTTATGGCAGAACGAACGTTTGTTTTGAATCTTCCTGATCGTGTTGCGTTACACCTAATCTTGAAGTCTGATTTGTATCTCTGCGCGATTGCAATTATGATCACCCGGGGCGGGTCACCCGCACCCGTGGGTTACAGCCCAAAAGAATTTTTTTTTTTTTACAATTTTTATTACAAGTGCTCAACATTATATGGGTGCCGCCAAGAGAAAACCAGGAATTCTAAAAATAGACTTCCATCCACAGCGAAGTTGCGGGGTTTTTTAATCGGTCAATGTAATAACATCGTGTTATTACATTGACCGATTAAAAAACCCCGCAACTTCGCTGTGGATGGAAGTCTATTTTTAGAATTCCTGGTTTTCTCTTGGCGTCACCCATATACGTAATTATTTAAAGCAAATCTAGCAAAAAATATTAATCGTTATCACTAAATACTGTCTCTAATTTAAGTTGGCTGGTATGATTTTGATGTAATTAATACGATTGACTTCTAAGGAGCTTTATTATAAAATTTTCAATAAGACCTACAAAATCTTTCTTATACTATATAACCCAGTCAGAAAAATCCGAAACGCTTATTTTTTTAAAGACATTCACATAAAAAATCACTTTCAAGCCCTAAAAAAAAATTCTTCAAGCAATTAGCTATATCAATGTAAAGCCGCACAGAGTTGATTTTTTGTTTGCATTACATGGCATTCGAAATTTCGGTCGGGTGGTCAGTTTTTTTTTTTGTTAATATAAATTAATAGAATAAATTTTCATGTAGTTTCTTAACTTTCAAACCTTTCTTGAAAAGGCGTTTTACTTGTTCAAGTACTATAGTCATGATTTCAGGTTCTTTAATTAATTTTCGAATCAGTTAAATAATAAGGTATTATAAAAATATCTTGAGTTTAAACCTATCAGCAATTTACCAGGTACAAGAATGATCTGATCCGTTATCCATTTTAAAATCTGAAAATTTAGTGTCTTAGTCATAGATTTACAAAACCTGCACTCCTTCCCGTAGTAATACAAAATTTCGATTTATCAAAAATCGGCCAAGAATGGGCAATATAAAATTAGAAAAGATACTTTTAGAATAAACCTGGAGTATACATATTTATCGTAGACTTAGTTGCACGTAACTTTAAAAAAAAATATTTATATATTGGGTCTGTCCCACATAGGGTAGGAGGCACGGTAAAATTTTGGGGCATGCCCCCAAGCCAAGGCATGCCCCTCTTATCGTGCCCGGGGGCATGCCCCTAATATATAAATTACTGTTTCATGCTCTATAATTTTTGTATCTAGCCAATCAGATAATTATGCTAAATTTAGAACATGGAATTATTACTAATATGCCGGGACTGGACAGTGAACTGATTATTATTTAACGCTTATTATAGAAATTCAATATTAACAAAAAAGTCACTGTTTTACCAACCCGGTACTAATATACACGTGAGCAAGAAGTAATTGATTATAAACTTTAAAACGTTCTAACCTTTTTTTTACTAAGCAAATTGAATTCCGTGGGATCCTAATTTCTCTCTCAGTTCTGATTGGGCATTTGTAAATGCCGTCTCTGATTGGACAAAGTAGACTACGCCACTCTTCATCTACCAATCAAATTATAATATCAGGTGTAACATAAATTTTCAAAAAAAAAATTAGAGTTTTTGAAGTTTTTTCAAAAATCGCCAGTAACTTAAAATTTTGATTACAAATCACTTTTCGTTCTAACAAAAAAAATTTTCTTGCAAAATTTTATTACGGTACATATTCTATTAGGCCGTTGTATTGTTTCAACAATACTTACATTATTTGATTTAAAAGCAGGATTTTTCTTCGTCCAATAGGAACTAGGGGGAAAATTAGTAAACCCGAATTCCGTAACTTTTAAAATATATGTCTTTAAACTATGTTGCCAGATTTTTAATTTACTTAATAAATTTTATTTTATTTTTAGATTACTTTTCCTGGTGCTTTTGAACAATTCGACCAAGAATTTTGTATAGTGAGCCGCTGCACTATGATAGTATGATAGTAAATTATTTGATATGTAACATACATGTTTTAAAAAAATATATTTAAAATACAAATTTTTACTAAATTTATTTATTTTTTAGTTTTAAAAAATTATATCGTCAACGGACCATTCATTTCCGGCACGATCATTCAGTTCCGAGTTAACCTGAGGTAAATCTTGTTCAAGATCTTCCTGATCTTCCTCAAATGATGCGAAATCAAAAAATTCATCCATAATAGACAACTCATCAGTCTCCATTATAACTTCTAGCTCTTCATCCAA